GCTTCTGGAGGCAGGTTGTTCCACTGGTTAATTGTTCTAACTGTCAGGAAGTTTCTCCTTAGTTCTAGGTTGCTTCTCTCCTTGATTAGTTTCCATCCGTTGCTTCTTGTCCTGCCTTCAGGTGCTTTGGAAAATAGCTTGACTCCCTCTTCTTTGTGGCAGCCTCTGAGATATTGGAATATTGCTATCATGTCCCCCCTCGTGCTTCTCTTCATTAAACTAGACATACCCAATTCCAGCAACCGTTCCTTATATGTTTTAGCCTCCAGTCCCCTAATCATCTTTGTTGCTCTTCTCTGTATTCTTTCTAGAGTCTCAACATCTTTTTTACATCGTGGTGACCAAAACTTTATAATGTAACACTATATATAAAATATATTTCACTACAGTATTTTGTCTTGATTTCATTTTGAACTCTAGAGCATTGAATATGTTTTACATTTCCTTTAAACATACAAAAATGAAAGGCAACAAAAGAAAAATCACTAACCATATGAATCATAAGGGTCAATATTCGGGTTTGTAGTATTCCAACTCTGGATGAGGCCATCAGTACCTCCACTGTAACACTGCTCACCATTGTTACTCATCACTACACAAAGCACTGGACTGCTGTAAGAGAAAGCATGTTATGACAGCACTGATTAGTGATTTTCCCTAACAACAAGATAGTCATCCAACGCTAATAATTCTAATTTACAGTAGAAATCATAGATGTCCAAATATTTTTTGTCTTGGAAATGAAGAGCTAGTGTGCAGCACACCTCATTAAACACAGTAAAAATAAATCTCCTAATAAATAAATCTATTTCTCTGTCACTGTTGGAAGAAAGCTTTAAGACCTCCTAACAATTACTTCTGTATTCTGCATAGTCCATAGAGATAACAGCAATAGCAGTAAGAGAAACCAATGCAATCATTCAACCAACTGTACCACCATTACACTGTGAAAGTTTCTTAGTTACCACAAGCATACAAGATATATTTAGAAACAATCAATGTGTGGTGAGCTGAGTTCAGCCACAAAATGAAGCAAATGCTCACCACTATTTCATGGTTTATATCATCCCTCAGTTCTCTTTAAAGAGAAGCTGCAATGTTACATCGGCAGCAACAAAATTACATTCTTTTTGTCTACATTTACTTACTTATGTGCCCTGAAAGTATAGATAGGTTCAACATCAAGTGAGGTGCTCCTAAACAAAAATAAAAAGTTATTATTTAAGTTATCGCAAGAACAACCTTGCAGAATCAGGTCAATAACCCTTTTAGTCTGCCATTTTGTTTCTCACAATAACTAACCTGATGCAGTGCTTGCAAGCAAGAGACAGAGAGATGCACCTCCCACACAATTGTTTTTATGCTATTGGCATTCAAAGGTGTAATGAATTTTCAAGAACAATAACCCTTAAAGATACTGTTCCCCATGAGTTCAACCAATTCCTTTTAAAGCCACTCAAGTTAATAGCCATGATCATTTTATGAAGTAAGAATTCCTCAAGTTAAAAATGTGCTGCCTGGAATGGTTTTACTTTTACATTTTCATTGGCTGGCCCTTACTTTGACCAAGGGACAAAACTATCTATGTGTCCACTTTTCCATGTCATGCATGATTTAAATATCTTGATCATGTCTCCAATTGGTTGCCTTTTCTCCAGGCTATAGTCCCAAATATTCAAGCCTTTTCTCATAGAGAAGGCGCTTGAGCCTTTTGATAATTTTAGTTTTCGTCCTCTGGACTTTTTTCAGTTCTATTATATTATTTTACAAATGCAAGAACCAGAACTGTGTACAGTACAGTACTTCAGATGCAGACATACCATAAAGTTATGATGTTGGCATTTTAATTTTCAGTTCTTCTCCTAGTGATTTGCATAGCGTGGAATCTGCATTCTTCACTTTTGCTGCATACCAAATTAATGCCTTCACTAGGCCCAGATGTTTTTTTTCTGGTTAATCATGCTCAGACCTCATCAGTATATAAATGAACTTGGGATTTTTTGCCCAAATGAGCTTGACTGTACACTTATTTAAATGTATATGATACAACCACTGCAAAGATGGCTGCAAGAGAAACTGTAATACCACACTCTTTCTCCAATAATAAACTTTTTATATTTCCCAGTTCTCTTTGTGAATTCTAGGAGCCTTCTATCGGCACACAAACCACATTGCACCTAACGTTACATAAATTACTCTCATTGGAAATAAATCAGATGTAAAACTTCATTTTTGCTATTATATTTCTTCAAATACACCCTACAAAAATGTATCTATTTCAGCTATCAACTTACTTTTTTGCTGGACAAGTTTTTTGCAAATTCCACATTTTTAAGGTATGGTCTTCTGAAGCTGTAATTAACACTGGTTCAATTGGATGGAAAGCCAGGCTCCTTATTCCATCAAAATGGCTCCTTAAAGTAAACTTGGGATTCCAAGTCTTCCTCAGAGCATCTTTATTGTTTGCTATCTATTGTAACAAGAACAAAAACTAGGCAAGTCAATGGGACTATACTAATACAAATTATATTAATCACTTGACAGAGGATGTACTTCACTGTATGGTTATCAAATGTTCAGTAAAGACTAACAAAATATTAGAAGTTAAAATACTTTTTTTTCAAATCAGGTATGAATCTCTGTATTAAAGTAACACATTAAAAACATTTCAACAGCCAATTAGAAATGTATACTGTAATCTACAAAACAGCACTGGCTATAACCTGCAAAGTAATGTTCTCTCTCTCTCTTATATCTGCACATCTATTAATAGTTTGAAGGGTTTAGATATAATTTCAGATTCTGTAATTCTCATCTTTTCATTGTATCTTCCTTTACAGCCATTTCTTTGTTTTAAATACTTACACTTATTGAACTCTCACTTTGTGGCAGACCTTAAAATAAATGTTTTGGGAAATCAGAATTTAGCACCATTGAGCAAATACATCAAATGCTTGCAGGCGATCTCAGCAGGTCTCAATAAACACAATGGGTTTTTAACAAATGAGCACTGTTAATGGTTTCCATTTCATCTCTCCAGTTTAAATTTAAATTTAAAAGCCATTTTGGTAATGTCTGTTAAATTGCATAAGCAATCTATTTTTCCTCTTTCTATCTCACCCTAATTTAAATCTTATGTTAGTCTAGTCATTTATACATCTGAATTGAGTTGCAGCTCAAGAAATATACCTTTTAATAACATTTGGAAAGTCCCAAAGGTGCTTTTTTACGAGGCAACTGGACTTTCTTTTTTCTCTTTGAAGTCGTTTTGCTTCTCATCCAAGAAGCTTCTTCAACTCTGACAAGATGGTCGGGAATTTATATTCTTTCGAAGACAGCAAAGTCCACATTTTAGACAGAGAGAACCACTGGCTTGAAAGAGGGGTCAAAGAGGTCATCTATGTCAAAACTGAACAGCCTTCTCTCAACAGAAGGGGAGGGATACGGCATCACCTATCTCCAGTCTACAACACAGTCCTTTCAACAGTTCCAAGAAGGCTCCACACCCATTTGCACTACTCAGGTGACTCTGAAGACACAGATAAGTTTCCAGGTGGCCTGATTCTAAAAGAATGCAAATGACCAGCTGTCTGCACATCCAGTCAGAGCTGAAGAAGCTTCTTGGATGAGAAGCGAAACGTCTTCAAAGAGAAAAAAGAAAGTCCAGTTGCCTCGTGAAAAAGCACCTTTGGGACAACCATGACCTGGATGACTGAGAATCTCGATAAACTTTTGGAAAGGGTGCAACCAGTCTCCTTTTCTAATTAAAAGCTTCTCGGTGTCATTAAAGAGTGCTACCACCATTCAAAACAAAAATAACTGCAACATTAAGAGATTAGCACTTACATCATATGTCAGTGAATCTGCTTCATTGGCTACTGTAAGGCCTGCCAATTCCCCAAGGCCAAGTTCACTTTCAAGGACCTCATCTGCTCCCATAATGAAAGATTTCCCAGATGAAGGAGGGAATGTTAAAGCTTCTACTGAAAGACAGAACACACATAAATCCAAAACATGTAACACACTGCATGAAGACAACTTCAATTATTAATACCATTTCAAAAACAATCAAAAACAAAAAAACCCTGGGACTTCCAAGGAAGAAATGACAAACTGAAGATGGCTCTGCTAAAAGACCACAGTGAAAAAAAGAACCAGTGGGCAGACTGGCTCTTTGTAATTCCTCTCCAGGTAAGGAAAGGACTTGAGATCATCCACAAGTGCTCCCTACAGTTGTTCCTCAAAAAGAGACCGCAAACCCAGTGCTTTTTTTCTAAAAAAAAAAAAAAAAGTGCTGGAACTCACACACGTCATACAACCCGCCTTGTCTACCCTACAAGGTTCCATCCAAAAAAGGTGCCGGAACTCCGTTCTGGGTGATCTATGAGAAAAAAAGCCCTGCGCAAACCAATGGTCTCCATCAGGTTTAGAACTCTGGAAGACAAGGGAATAACCATCTTGCTCAAACCCAATCACCAGCACTTTGAACTACACCCTCTATGCCTTTTCTTTTATTTGATTCTTTCATGTACCACAAGATGAACTAGCAAGATCCAATTCTTGGATCAGTTCATTTCATATTGTTCTTAATTTCTCATTTGCTTAATTTGATCACAGTATAATATTGGCCCAGAAATATTTTTAATGATAGTTGATGGCCAATAAATCTAGTATTGGAGATGCTTGTTTTAATAATTCTTATCAAGCCATTTATGTTCAGTGTTTTTCTAGCATCTCGGGATATTTTTTCACAAATCATAAGTAGCTCTCATTAGCAAAAATATTTCAAAAATCCTATATAAGTACATGCAAGTCTTCTTATTCAAATTATGAAACTGCTTAACTTTCCTAATTCATTATTTTAGTCTAGTAACAATACATTTTTAGATTAATCGAGGACACCAAAATGATCAAGGTTCACTAGCAAGCATTATTTTCACACTGTGTTTTAATTCTTAGTTTGCTGAGTTTTAGCCTAATACAGTATTATCAATGTTTCTATTGCTGCTTCAAAATATTCACAAAATGCATATTTGAACACCAGTTCGACTGAAGCAACACTAAAATCATCAGCCATACTACCACCTGCCACATTCGTGAGTTCATCAAAGCCTGGCATTCCAGTTCGATAAGGTAGTTGTATGTGTAACTGGATGTTGGTCGGATGCTTGGGGAGTCTCAGGTTGAGTTGGTGTGTCGGTTGGTCTCTGTCGTAACTGGGAGTTGATTGGGTGTATTCGGGGAGGGGGGATGGTCAAGTGGAGAGTTACTGGGACTGGACTATATCGGAGGGGTAGTGTTCTGAGAGTGAACTGTGTGGGTCACCTGAAGCTCTTACAAACAGAAGAAATGGACACTGACATCCCCTAAACTCTGGTGAAGATGTTTCAACCATAAACATTAAAAACCTAGCACCAATTCTAGTTTCACTGAACTCAGGACTAATTTAGCAACTGACATTGCCAATTACCAAGCATTGCTAGAAAAATATTTTTTAAGAATGCAATGGGTGTCTTATTAGATACAGAGCTGTCATGAGCTGTCTATGTTGTGAGTTCCACCCTCAAAATTAGTCATGTAAGGCAGGCAGAAAATACTTAAACAAAGGTTGTAAATTTGATCAATTATTTTTAAAATGTGATCTTATTATCTAAAATTAATCTTTTGAATATTGGATAATATACTGGGATACATTAAAAATGGGAAAAAAGACTCAAGTATATATTTATTTATCCTATTTACTTTAATAAATAAAAATTACAGGCTTATACCTAGGCTACTTAAAACAACTTCTATTAGTTAATACAACCTTAAATTTTAAAACAATTGTTTTACTAAGATAAAATGTTAATACTTGCAAATATTAAGATTGTCTTAGAAGTTAACCTAATCTAAGCCAATATCTATCTATCTATATCTATCTATCCATATCTATATCTATATCCAGTGCTTTTTTTGTAAAAAAAAAAAAAAAAAAGGTGCCGGAACTCATACACGTCATATAACCCGCCTTGCCTACCCTACAAGGTTCCATCCAAAAAAGGTGCCGGAACTCCGTTCTGGGCGTTCTATGAGAAAAAAAGCCCTATCTATCTATCTATCTATCTATCTATCTATCTATCTATCTATCTATCTATCTATCTATCTATCTATCTATCTATCTATCATCTATCTATCTATCTATCTATCTATCTATCTATCTATCATCTATCTATCATCTATCTATCTATCTATCTATCTATCTATCTATCTATCATCTATCTATCATCTATCTATCTATCTATCTATCTATCTATCTATCTATCTATCTATCTATCTATCTATCTATCTTATCTATCTATCTATCTTATCTATCTATCTTATCTATCTATCTATCTATCTATCTATCTATCTATCTATCTATCTAATCTATCTATCTATCTATCTATCTATCTATCTATCTATCTATCTATCATCTATCTATCTATCTATCTATCTATCTATNAGACGTCTTACCTTCATCTGTTCGATTCATCTCTTGCTCAATAAGCCGCGAAGTACTGGGTCGCGTGGGTGGTACAACAGAAGGCTGTAATGCAGGGAGATCATCAACATCTCTCAAATTAGCAAGCATATCTTGCAGTTTTGACCTGTTGGGTCCTGACCAAAAAAAGTGCAAAGGTTGGATTAACATTAACACTGTCAAACTTGTTCCAGCACTAATGACAATGGGTGCTACCCCGAGCAAAGAAAAACATGAATGTGATTCAAGTAGAGAGGACTAGCTTCAGCAACAACTAAGTTAAAAGCGTGAAATGAGGTGCTGAGATAATAATGAAAACAAAGATGTGCATACATACATTCACACTTTTATTCACTTTTATGAGCTTGCAAAATGTAAAATAAAACCAGGTGAAAGCAAATGATAAAACACAAAGTTTTCTGAATATAAAAATACTTGTGAATTATATTTTTTTTTGCACAAGTTTTGAAAATTTTCCCAAATAGGGTAAGGCTACAGCTTTATCAGTGGTGCCACAATCTTTAAAAAAAGTGATTTGCTTAAAAAAAAGGGGAGGGAAACAAAATCAAGCAAGAATAACTTTTTGCTCTTCCTCAAACTACATGTGGTGAAGACCCCATGCCTTTCTCAACACTTACCTGTGTTTTGCTCCATCATTTTCCCACATCCCTGTTTTGACTGTTTTATAAAGGACTGAGGCTGAAACATATCTTCGGTAGTTTTTCCTGTTGTAAGTTTAATTAAGAATGGGAAAATATCTTACCCACAGTCCATAACTGTTTTTCCTATTCTAGTAAATACAACTATTGTTAGTAGCTAAAAGCATTCCAACACAAATCTGAATGTAATGTTGCTCACAAGGCCTTGCTACAATAGCCTGGCCAATCTTAGAAATATCCTCATACCAGTCATTTGACCCATTATTACTGATGAAACTCTTAAATGGTAGTAGCATTATGAATATTTGCTTTGATTGTACACAATTCAATTCATGTTTAAAAACTGCAAATATATAGTATATAAAATTTGACATTATCATTGACCAGATCAAAATTAGATCTAGTTTTATACTTGAAAACTCAGGCCCACCCAACTCAGATTCCTACATTTAACTTTTCATTGGTCTGATAAAAGAACATCATTAGTTTTAAGTTAATGTAACTTATAAAAAAATAATTTCATTTTCAGTAGCCTTTTGTCCTAAACAGATGCTGTACTGCAATTTCTGTAATGGCAAAAAACTACTTCACACCTTTTTTTTAATCAGCCAAATTTTGTTTGGAGAAGATAGAAGGAAACATCAATCTTGCCCATCGTTACCTCTAAAGCTTCAAAATCCTGTGAGTTTCATAAATGATTGGGTTCCACTTGGTTTACCGAAGAATTTCTAGTCAGATCCCCCCAACTCTTCACCTCACACATGGACTACACATTATTAATTTGCATATTAATTTAGACGCCCAATCTTTTTGTCAAGCGTGCCAAACTATAAATCCTGCAAAATAGCTTCCTGTTTGTCAAGCTTAACATAATTCATCTACTAGGTGACAGAGGATGCAATACTGCTGAGGTGACAGAGCATAAAACTAGGTATCTGTATCTATGACTGAATAGCAGAAGCTAGCACAAAGAGCACGTTTATGTATTTGGAGAGTCATTTTGTCAACTAAAATGCCTATCCTGCATTTCTAAGGGACATAATTCACACTGTTCAGGAAGTGTTCTCCAAAACTCTGAGGAGAGAGTTTCCCCAAAAATAAGGATGGGAAAAGAAATATAAGTTGCATATGCTGTCTTCCACTTGTGAAATCAGTATTGGCAATTAATCTTGAAAAGTAAACTTTTAGGAAGCTACAATATATGTTAACAATCCACAAGATTATTTGAAAACTGATGGAACTCCAGCAGTCTGTGCTACTTGATACATGATATTTAAAAGCCTGATACTCATACTGTGTGTATTTACAACTCATGTTACTTATTCATTTGATTCCAATTCCCAAATTGTGAAATACTTTACAAGAATAGATAGACCCAAAGTGGCACAAATTCCAAAATATAATATGAGATAGCAAACAATTTTCCCTGTGAAATCCATTAACCTAGCTAATAGTAGAATAAGAATTGACCACCCATTTTAAAGTAGGCACTGCTTACTTAAGTTGGTTGGCTCATAACAGCTCAGTTCTTTAAGTCTCCATACAAAAGTCTGGAGAAGTTGGGCAGACGTCCAATTTCTGCTAATAATGTTGTGTACACAATGTTTTGACAGAATAACATGGTAGGGGATAGGACTGCTACAGATGTTACAAGTTAGTTATGTGCAATCTCAAATTAGTGAACAGGCCTATTCATCTTTCCCATTAAATTCAAGTGGAGGAATACAAGGAATTGACTAAGTAATAACTATTCCACAAAGCATGCTCTCTCAAAAGGCTACATGAGATACATGTTTCTCCTCTTAAGAAATGCCTCCCAATGACTTCTGAGGCAAATATACGTAATTTGCTATTCATCATCTGAGAAACTTCACTCTTCATAAGTCAGCTTATTCACTGGTTTGTGGATATGAACCAGTATGCACAGCAAGTATTTTTCATCAAATTCCAGTGTCCAGTGTGTCTTTTGCCATTATATTTATGTTATTTTTAATACAAAATTTAATATTAACATATTAAAATATTAGATATTCTTTTTAATTCCATGATAGTAAGACAACTAATACTACAAATCACTTTAGAAAAATGCTAAAAATTAGCAATTTGTACCCAATAATGTACCTAACAATTGGAAATAAGCTAATTCATTAAATCAGTGTGGTAAACATTTCAATAATTTAAATTAACCATCTTGTAAATGTCAACCTCACTGGTACCGTTAATTATTATGTAAGCTTTTGTATTATTCTGTATGCATTTACAAATACAATTTCTGTATATGGAATTTAAATCTATGACTTGTATATTTATATTTTGAAAAATGGAAAACAGAATGATGCACAGGGCTAGAAATTAAATGTTGAAAACTGATCCAATTGGTTGCCTGGTTTATATATATCATTCAACTTAATTCAGTTATTGCATCAAGACTAATTTTAATAAATAATATTTTTTTTCCATTTCGAGCCCTGCATTCAAGTTATGAAAACAGCATGACCTACATGAAGCAAACAATAAAATATAAACAAGGGTAGAAATTAATTTATTCACTTTCACTCTTGTTAAGGATATGTCCAGACCAAAATTGTCTACTGTAATTCTTTATATGCTGATTTTATTATTTATATACTAAGTTTATTATTTCCGTTGTTCCTTTTTTTACTGCAATATTTCCAGTACTATAGAGGTTCTTGTTTTGAAACATGCCATTAAATATCAGACACTCTACATCCAACTATGTATACATACTTAAAACACTAGTGTGAGCAAAAGGCAAGAAAAACAGGGAAAGCAAGAGATGTCTTTTTATAACATCCAATAAACCTATTGACTTTATGTAAGCAGAATTACCCCTAGGCTGTCAGAAAGAAATCTGCACTGAAAGTCAAAAGGCAGCTTTCAGGTTAATCAAGAACCTGGGTATTAAAAACCGCTCTACAGAAAAATGCAAAGTCCAAGTCATCTGTAACATACAGAACTACAGAATGCCTTTTTGGGACTTGGTCATAGTATAGAGACAAATATAAATGAGGTCATATACAGAGAGAAAAGATTAATCCCCACTTATTGCAGTATTATCTTTGACTTCAAAGCTCCAGAAATGCAGATAAGGAGAAATGACACGATGCTATTTATACTGCAGAAGTTCGCTCACATGAATATTGCCTGGTTTGGACAAAACTTAGCAAGATGTGTTTTAGAGTCGTCAAAAATTCTCTTCAATGCATTTTGTACATTATTTCGTCAATGTACATAATATTAGTATTACCAACACATTTAGATTTTAAGTAGCATTAATTTCCACCCCTGGTAACTGTAAACTCGAAAGCAGTCAGGAGCAGCAAAGAAAAAGAGTAAGTAGTTTGAGGAAAACATTGAAATAAAGATAGCACTGGTGAAGTGAAAGAGGCAGGATTTGTCGATCTATGGTGCAATGTTTTCCACTTACTCTTCACCCCCTTTTTCCCCTTGCGCTCCTTTTTGTATTGTTCCTTCAGTTTGGTTATTACTCCCTGGTCCACATTCCAGGCTTCGGGCATGAGACACTGGTCTTCCTTTTCTAGACAAATTAAAACAAATGAAACATCCTTTTTGTGTTATTTAATTTTTAAAAAATGCTTTATTTTTGGAATATTGGCAGCAGCTGGTGATCAGTGAAATGATGTTGTATTTATCCACTCAATTTATAGGGCTGCTCATCTCAAATACATGGGTGGCTAGCGGTACTTCAATTAGTATTATAAAAGTATACAATAACATTATAAACAATATGAATAGCAGTTGAAAAAAACAATAAAACAATTAACATAATTATTATACAGGCTCAGCTACACATCCAGAGCCCTCGGCTCAGTGACAAAATCAATTTCCTTAAGGCTTTACGAAAGGTCAGCAGAGACAATGAACCTGAGCTTGAGGGAAATAATGTTCCAGAGGGCAGGCGCCACAACACAAAGACTCTCTTCTTGGTTCCCCTCAGATGACACTCCATAACAGACACAACCTGGAGCATTCTTCTCCTGCCAGATCTTACTGAGTGGGTAGATACCATCAGGAAGAAATGGCCTCGCAAGTGACCACTGGCCACAAGCCATGAAGTACCTTAAAGGTATCTACCAGTACCTTCAATTGGAAGCATATTGGCAATCAATGCAACTCGTGGACTAAAGGATTCACATATTTTGAACAACAGGCATCCATAATTGCCCACACCACTACATTTTGAACAGCAGAAGCTTCCAAATTCTCCTAAAGCACAGCCACATGTAGAGCACATTCCAGTGGTTCAATCAGGACGTGACCAAGGCATGAGTGACCATGCAGGAACAGAGTAATTGGCATATAATATGCTGCAACTAAAGGTTAAATTAAATGTGACGGTCTTGGATTTCTTTTCATATTCAATCTTATTCACCAAGAAAATGTTCTAACTCAAACCTAATCTGTAATCATCTTTTCTGTTTCTTATAATTACAGCTATAATATCATCTTTGATTTAATCCAGATTATTCTACTTGTTAAGACATTTTTAGAAAAATAAATCTGTAGCTGGTGCTAATTTTTATTCTGGTCAGAATAGAAAATATTTTAATTCTAATTGTAATAATTTCAAGCACACTGCATTGTTTGTGTATCTGAACATCTTGTCAAACTTCTCTTCTACTACAGAAGTCTTCACAAAAGAAAGCTAACATTTAAAGTGGAAAAAAGGTGCATTAACAGCAAATCTAAGCATTTTTTTCTTTCATGCGATTAAGAAATATATTTCATAGTTTACATATTGAAAGTTACAACACAAGAAACATACCACACAACTGCTTTCTGAAATGTCTGAATTATCCATTGATGAGTCCTGGAGAGGATTTTTCCTTCCAATTTCTCTATTTATTTACAGTCCAAGATAAAGTTATTGCACTATATCTTTTCACAGTATATTGTATACCTAAGCTGCAAGTTGTATGTAATGGTAATTTCTTTGAACAGTTACATTGCTAAAACAAATTGCCTGAAAGAACTCTAACTAAGAACTGTATTACATAGTGGTAGGAAATCCATTTGAATACTTGAATTAAAACCACAAGGCCTGGAAATTTGCTAAAACTATTTGGAATATTGGACAAATATCTACACAGTTTGCAGTTTCTGAAAACATATTCAATAATCTCAAGTGATATACAGGCAATCCTCATTTAGTGACCAGAATAGGATTGGCAACTTGGTTGTTAAGCAAAGTTGTCACTTTATGGGAAAGCATGTGACCACAATAGTGCCTGTGATCTTACTTCAGCTTTCCTTTGCTTTCTAGACTTGTGCAGGTTATAAATGCAGGTATTGGTCACAATGTTAGTTTTTAACATGGTAACAATCTTACTTTTCGATCACTTTCATAACTGTGAACAACTGCTATCTGAGGCAGTTGCTAGAGAAGACTACCTGAAGAGCAAATTTTTCAACTTCAGTATGGATTTTTGGCTATTTTGTGACATATGACCTGCTTATACAAGCTTGACTTAGTAACAAGCAAACCAGGTGGAGGTGAGTTACAGTAATCTTTACTCCTAGTGTGAAGGACCTAATAAGAAAATGATACAGATTTAAGGGGTTCTATATTCCTAAAATCAACAAGCTGATTAGGTACATCAGGTGAACAGTACCACTGCTGCATTGGCCAGATACTATGTATGGTTTACTTCCCAGTGCCACTTTTTTTGGAGAATCTGAATGAGGAAATTGCCAAACCTCCAAACAATAACAAATTGGGGAGGGATAGGAGATGAGGGACATGGTACTCTTGATTTGTGTTCTTAACTCACTTTCATCTTTGTACATCACATAGAGATATGAACTTAAATAACCTCTTGAAAAATAAACTCTTTCTAATGTTTTAAAAGGAAATTGTTGTATGAAAACAGGTGCTCCATTAACCCATGCATGTAAGAACTCTTTCATTGGATAGTTATATATTTCTAATTTCAGTCCTTTGCAATCTTATCTAATAGTCAGTGAAAGGGGATTCGGTGAGATTTACCTTAAACAAAATGTGTGTGTAACAGTCCTGTTAGTCACACCTTCAAACCATACTACTTAAATGATACACAGGGGAATAAAAACCATAGATGGCATATGGGAAATTTACCAAGGTGATGGCAACAAATACAAATGCAGAAAAATAGTAAAAGTGAGGATTAGGAAGGGACAAGGTATGTAGCTAAACAAAAGCAGCTTTCTATATAACAGCATAAGAGAAACTACAAGAATTAATCAAGCATGACTATATAGCAACTTCAAGGGAATGATCAATTCATATTATATGTATGAAGGATAAAATGGAGAAGTATGCCAAAGAAAAGGCTGGTACTTGGAGGGCTATAAAATCTGCAGCAAATAGGTTAGTAATGATGAACGTTGGATATTAATAGAGTAGCCACATTTTTTTAAAAAATCCATTTCAAATTTTCTCCCCTGAAAGAGCAGAAAACAAAAGCACAAAATACACTAGAGGAAATCTTATATCAAGATAATATATATTAAAGATTGAGTTCACTTGTTATGACAGATTGCTTCACACAGCATGCTAAAAAATGGCCTGTTTCCCACAACTGCTGAATTAAAAGTTCTCCTTCCCCTTTTATTCCCATGCAGTAGTCTTGGTTAGGTCAAGAGTGGTGATACATTGGACCTTGCCAGATTTTTCAGTTGCCAGCAAACTTTAATTTGGAGAAGTAAATAGGCATCAAATTCCACAACAAGCAGATGTTTACAAGCAAGAAGGGGACTAACCATTCACTTTCAAAAAACTCAATTATACTTTCCTGGAACGTGCATTGGATTTCCTCTTCTGCCTGCTGGTGAATATTGTTAGGATCTGAAATTATGGTATAGGATTCTTAACTTATGATCCACTGGGCAACCAAATTTGAACAATTCACCAATCCAGAAATATTCTAAGCTCAAATCAGTACTGAACATTGCACAGGAATCTCCTAACCACCTATTCTAAGGAATTACACAGTTTAATACAACCTAGTGCAGTTGTAATATAAATATGCTTAAACACAGAAGAATTCAGAGCTTTCTATCAACAAGGAAAAATAAAAATAAACAGGAAGATCTCATCTGACTAATTTGCTATTACACAGGCTAATCTTCAAAACTAATTTCCTCTATTTCTTTACTCAAAACTATGTATAATTGTACATGAAATTAAGAAATGGACTCTGTTGCAAAGGCTTTAAACATGAGAAAAAGCAGGATTTGCCTCATATACTTGTCTAATGAGATGAATAGATTTAGAGATAGTCTTTTGGTCTGAAACAGACATGTCAAACTCGTGACGTCACATGACATCGCGCAACGTTATCGGGCTGGTTTTGCCATTGCCGGCAATGGGGAGGGTGCGGCTTCCATGTGATGCATCCGGCCCACGGGCCGGCAGTTTGACACCCCTGGTCTAAAACTATAGGTTTGAATCCGCTCTCTTGGAGATGATCAAGTTAGAGGGGCACTTTAAACTTGAAAAGGGAAAGTGGAAGGACTGTTAAAACCTGTCTGGGCTTTGTTTCCTTATTTTGCTTGCACAAGCCCCATTGTCAGTTACCATACAGACAGCAATGAATTCAAACTATAAAAGTAGTTAACAACAACTTCAATATTTTTAGATATTCTGTTAAATTAAGAAACAGCTCAAGAGTTGAATGTCCAGAATTAAAATAACATTTCCCTAGGATGCTTCTCAGTTCCAGGTAAATTACTGCATTTAGGCTATTTTCTTTCTCTTCTTACCCCAGTCTGTACCATCTCCTGAACTTCTAGATTCCCCATCCCCTTCATCAGATGTAGCCAGGAAGTCAAATTCCTTTAGGGCTTCTTCAGTATCTCTGTCTTCATTGTTATCAGGCAGTACTCTTTTTCTCACAATCTATGGGAGACAAATTTTTTCTCTCATTATGTGCTATTTTTCTCATGTTTGCACTTTTTAAATACATATAAGCAGAAAGATAATATATTTTTGGTACCAGCCAATAAAATATAAATTAATTACCGGTAGTCAATACTTGATCTATTGTTTATACAATTTATCTTCATTAGAAAGCCTATAGGTGCCAGAGGCATTCTTATAAAATATAAAGAACAGCTCATCTAAATTCATACCTATATTTGGAAATATGTCTAATTGTCTAGAACAATCATCTGAGAATTGCAGTGATCACCCTAGGATCTGGAGGGGATGGTGAAGAACAACCTCTAAGCTTCTAACAACCTCTAGTGTTTCTTCTAACTGGCAGTTTTATTAAATATCCGTTTATTTATCAAATTTGGAGACTGGCCATCTCATCCACAGATTTGGGGAACAGTTAAACCTCTGATAACTATTTTGTCTGAGAACATAAAACAGACTCTTAAAAAGTATTCTTTTGTTGGAACCCCTAATATAAATGGAGACCTCAAAACTTATAAAGCCAGTTAGGCTTCTAACTCTCATATAAAATGCAATATAGCTGCATAGCTCTTTTTCTTTTTCCTCTTGAGATATTTCTCTGCATGTCTATTCTCCGAACCCTGGAAATTACTGAAGGAATATTTGGACTGCTATACGCAAGTGTTTTCATTGATCAGTTTCCAAATGTTTTGCAATTAAAGTTTTTAATAGGTGTGTTTTGAATGATCAAGTGTTCTTTTGGTACAAGCTTCATTATACTGATTTGTTTTCAGCCCACCGTTGATGTATCCATGACTGTTCGCTCTCTTCCATCAATATCATCATCTTCCTCTTCATCACTAAATTCTGCAGCAGCATTTTCAAGGAATTTAAATGTTTCTAGCAGAGAGGCAGAATCTGTCAAATCTGGTTTTCTAGATAAAAATTAAAACAGCAGCACAAATCAATTTACCTGTGGTTCTTTTCATTAAGCTTTATAAAATCCAACAACATAGATCACAAATTTCATTTTTGATGGGCCTACATATTTGAAAGTAAAAAACATAAAGCAAGATATAGTAATAATGTTACACAAGTTTAGAACATCCAAATATTTTTGATTTTAAGATTTCATTACCAAGTGAAACTGAAACCAAGGAAGGGAAGACTATTTTTTGCTCATTTTCACCTTTACCTTAAAATCAATTTCCAGCACAAGCAGCCAGAAGGACTGAGGAAAACCATTATTATTTTCTGCGCAACCCCAGGTCCCTCCATTCATATTTAGATCCTTATGTTTTTTACCAGCATTTATTTATTTATTTATTTATTTTATAAAATTTATATGTCACCCATTTTGCCAAGAGGCAATTCTAGGCAGCTTACAACCAAATAAAAGCAATAATCTGGTAACAATTGTGAAGCTGAAGATAGCATGAAAGAGAAAATGTACAGACTCATGGTTGCTAATGATAGCACTTTTGAAAATGAACATACATGAAATTGTAACAGTGCTTCTGCCACTAAACAGGAACCTCAAAATGTTCATTTTTGTACTTTACATCTTTTTATCTTAAGATTAATCAAGAAAATAATTGCTGTTTAAAGCTATAGATATTTCTAATTATTTAAGATTGTTTAAAGACAATAATTATGCAAATTCTTCTATTGACACAATGAAGAGCAATTGGAGGCAAGAAGAAAATAACTGAAGCTAGAACAATTGTCCCAATACTTAAATTGACTGGAAAAGTTAAATTTCATTTTTTTTCATTCTTTAAAAAAATAAGAGAATAAATTTAAAACAATTACTAAAAGAAATCTCTCCCACCATGCTTTATTTTCATACCTAGGTCCTATAACCTGCATGTCGCAATTAGTTCTTTTTTTAAAAAAGCACATACTACACAATTAACTGAAATAAGAGTTTTTTAAGAAGAGATTGGACAGCCATTTGTCTGAAATGATATAGCATTTCCTGCTTGAGCAGGGGGTTGGACTAAAAGACCTCCAAGGTCTCTTCCAACTCTGGTATTCTGTTACATCAAAGAAAGATCACTTTGGAATACTTCTTCGAAACATTAGCAAAACTACAATTTCTAAAAAATTTATATTTGTAAATGACATTATCAAGAAAGGACAAGACTTAAATGCAATACATGTTTACTCATAAGTAGGCCTCAGCAAATTCAGGGCAACTTATTTCCAAGTAAATATTATATATTACAAAATATATAATGGTTTATGTTAACACAGTTTCATAACACAGTTATGAAAACTGATTAAATGGTACCATGTTGTACAAACATCACGAAAATGTAGGTCAATCCCACTTTTCCCAACCTGATTCGTTCCCAATACGTTGAGACTACAATTCCCAAAATGCACAGCCATGATGAACACATTTTAAATTATTTTATACAGTACAAGTAGCCCAGGGAAATATTGAAAATATTTGCATACTTGTTTTTAAACGCAGTTGTCAGCCAAAGTAAGCATTAAGTATCATAACATATACTGAATGATGCAATAAAAAAATAAACAGTACAACAGAGGTTTCCAAACTTTCTTGATTCATGGCACACATAATCTTTTTTTTAGGGCACCCCCTAGCCCAAGCTGTGATCTACCTTGAGATAGTAGTTTCCATGGTGTCTGAAAGACATCAAGAACTGCTGTGTTTCCCTCAAAAAATTAAAATATCCTGTGTCACCGCTGTGAGTTCACTTGGCACCCCAGGATGCTATGGCACAAAGTTTGGGAACCGCAGCAGTAAAATCAAAGAAAATGTCATCAAATTTAAAATAAATAACCATATAATACACAAACTTACACTTATTCTGTGAAGCATACCTACTTATATTTTTTCACAGAACAAAGGTGTATTGCCTATTTTCAGTAAAGCTTTTGTGAACTAATTTCAGGTAAAAATTAGTTTTCAGATCTATGATACATATTCTCTGTGAATCATTGGTTTTGAAGATGGCAGGAAGAGGAGAAGCAACAGAATCTAATCCGAAATTAATCTTTCTCAACTAAAGCTTTCCAGATATATTAAATGACGATGATTCTCATAGTTGAACTGAGCTTGAGTTTAGGAAAGGCACAAAGGGGAAAATATTTAAAATTAAATATTTTTGTTTACCATAATGAAAATCAGCTTAAATTGTGACAACTAGTACTTCAGTACAAATGCTTAAACATATTCCTATAGATTTCTAGTCTGGGTTTTTAAAAAAAAATCTTATACATTTAAACCGCGTTGAACCAATTTTAGGGCATTTGTTTCAATGGGTGTAACATGTTTTAGCATATTTCTGGAACCGGTTTCATGAGGCTGTCAAATGTGCTATCGTAAAAGGCCAACCAGTCTGAGGCAAAGAATGGTGGAAATTATAATCCCAGGAACAAGATATATTGGGGAAAAGAAGAAGGATTTGAATTTTAAGAACACTAAATAGTATTTTGATTGCAGAAAGCATATTTCTACTTTCTCTTTCCTGTAAAGCCTCTGTATCTGTTCCTGAGCATGAAGAAATCTTTTATAATATTTGATGCAATGCAGGAGGCTGAAGATGTAGGAAGATGATCAGTGAAAATCCAAGTCTCTTCTTTGGGTTAGTGCAAGTTTATTCTGTTCAGGCAAGCCACAGGCTGCGAACAGTAAGAACTAACAAGAAGACATGTTGGAATGAACTGGCCTGTTATTCAGAAGCAAAGTTCCATCTAGTATAGCAAATGCAAGTTAAAAAAAAAAACATTTCTAAGTTCTTCCCAAGTCTTTATATCAGCTCATCTGTATATGAAACCTTTTGTAGGGATGATATTTCAAATTGAAGTTAAGTCAGTGAATTATGAACCTATTAATATTTTACAGTCTATCAACATAAGACATATTTCTATTTTGAATTTTAACAAAATAAAAAGCTATTAAATGAAAGAAAGTTTTCAGTCAATATTGCCTAACAAAAAACAGATTTACAATGATGCCCTTTGTAAGTCAATCTTAAAAATCAGAATGTTTGACAAGTTTTATTATATATTATATATCCAGTATTAAAATAATGCATATCTAAATATTGGTTACTCAATTTGCAAAAAAGAACAACATTAAAATAAAGAAGCAGAGATTAAATGAAAACTATCTGGTATACCATGCAAGGCAATACCAAAAATAAGGCATTTTATTGATTTGTTCTTCTTTTATCAAAAATTGTTAATGGCAAGATGCACCCTTCATATTCACAGCAAACACTGGAAATGCTAGATATTAATATCATGTTAGTATCCCTGTGGGCTTCATGCTGAGATATAGTACTTATCTTTTATAAAAGGAGTCTGCTGATCTGAAGAAGTGCAACATTTCTTTCATTAAACATTATGAAACATGTGTGAGTAGTATTATGTCTGTCAAACTATCAAAATAATGTTTCCATGGATGGGCTTGAAATCTTCCAGGTTGCATTCGAACTCATACGATGCTCTTGAGTATAAAAGTTTCACTGGGATCTGTACATTAGCAAACATATTGGCTTGCATAAAAATACCATGGACAGAATAATTAATTCTTCCTTAAGGAAGCATTAGGTCAACTTTAAATTACTTTGAGGAATAGTAAATACAAAATTTGCTCTTAAAAGAGGTTTCCTTGTCCTGATCTGCTTCATTTATTGATTTATAACAATTCTGGTAACAATTAATAAAAATACATTCCCACCAATTACATTTCCTAGAGGAGTAAAGACCGCCAAAAATGCAGAGTCCATGAATTAAGTCTTCCTACAAACAATTTGTATTTTACTTTCTTCCAATTTCCATCCATGACAAGTTCTAAATTATTCAACAGAAGCTAATTACTACCTTGCACTATACCAGTATGCTAAATTACTGGAATGCCATCAGGAAAGTAAACAGTGATCATCACTGGGTCTCTTGACTTTTCTCTCAGGGAGACTATGCTAGTGTTGAGAACATGACATACCACATAGTTATGTCTTTCAAAACTGCATAGTATTGGTTAGAGAAAGAAGTAAAAAAATCAAGTGGTGGGGTTTTTCTTCCATTCAGTATAATAACTGCATAGTTTACAAAAACAGAAATGAGGAGAGAGAGAGAGACTGCTTCTTCCTTTAAAAACAGCACCCACATTCTACCACACTGGTGTAACATATAATACTACATTTTTAACACAGAGATTTTTAAAGTACAATTTCTACTATTTCTCATTATTAAGAACACTTACCCAATCATCACTTTTTGTTTAATCTCAACATCAGTGCCGTTCACCATTGATTCTTGGTTTTTGTCAGTTTCCTTCTCTGGACCATCACCTGAAAGACCCAGCAACGTCCGTACTCGTTTTGACTTCACATCCAGGATTGTGTCAGTATATCCCACCTCTTGCAGGTATCTGTATGAATAGTTACATGGCAGTTATTCAGGAGCTATCAATGTATTAAACATTTGATACAATCTACCCAGAACTGATCAACAATTTAAGTAGTAAGAGGAATAATGTGGCTTTGCCTGACACAACAGGCTTACAAATCAACTTGTACCAGCTGCAGAGGGGATGTCTCCTGCAGTACCAGCCTCTACGACTCCCATGAAAAGTAGAGAGCTTTTCTATCCATGCATACACAATTATTCATTATGTTAGTCAAGAAGAAAAATTCCTCACACATCTTCAGCTATATTCTTTTATAAAGGGGAAAACCAAGCAATAATTGGCTCCTCTCTTCATCTTTCTTTGGGAGGAGATACTGAATTCAGAGCAATGAGTTTTATAAGCCAAACATTACAAGAAATAAAATAAAAATAAAGTCTTATGAATAAAGCATATAAGCAATTTTATTACAAAAACTGTCAATTTTACCACAGTGATATAGCTTTTGCAAGTTAAGGAAAAGAGGAACTAATAGTATCCAATTACTCGCAATCATCATAGCATAGATACTAATGTTTTGGTTGTTCCCACCATATTATGAAGTCATTATTAAGTTTATTATTCTTAGACAACTTACTGTCTGAGTAACTGTCGCCCTTGTTTCCAAATTAACTGACTATTAGGTTGTGACTGAACTTCGGTTTCATTTCCTTCATCTGAAAAACATAGACAAGACTAACATTAGTATAACAACAATGTTAGAAGAGTCAGTTTTGTGCAAATTTATCGTCTAGCACTGATTAAATATTTCCAGCCTATTTAAATAACAGCAAAACAAAATCAAAACATACTATACAAATTTTTAAATAAATATAATATACATTGGATATTATTCTATGGTTACTCCCAAAAATATATTTCTGCAGAAAATATTCTACAGAGCATGTTTAAAGGCATGTTTAATGACAATGAAAAAATGTACATAGAATATACACTGAATTCCTACAATTTCAAACAGGAAATAAGAACACTTTAGGTTAATAGTACTGAGAGGACAATATATTATCATTGCCTACAGTGGTTTTCTATTCTAAAATAAGTTTATAAGAAGTGAAGTCAGTGTCAATTTGAGTTTGAATCCAAGAAATCCATCCATTTCAATTATCTAATCACCTCCAATGCAATTAATCTGAATCCCATATTGTTTATATTACTTTTACTATCTGCTTTCCCAGTTAATTGTTAAGTAGCAAATATTTTACAAATTCTGTGTAAAAAGTTCATGCATAGATTTTTGTCCAGTAACTAAGTTATTTTTCTGACTAACTGCAACAAAAAGTGAAAAGAGCCCTATCAAGTAATTTACCCATATCACGCATTATGATTGTAATGCTGTAAAATACAGGCACAGTTGAGACAAAATTAGTATCAAAGTTTGAAGACTTAAGGTACAGGACTGTCTGTGTGACAAGCATAGGAGGAAGAACCACACGGGAAAAGAACAGCCTCTTATGAGCCCTAAAAACTATTTCACGCTAAACTATTCCAGACCATCATTCTTTACAAAATGACAGCTTTGTCTTTTCGTCAGTCTTAACTGCTTTCCTCTGTATAAATTAATTCTTACCAGAATCATAATTTGGTGGCTTCATATCTCCCTGGTTCAGCTCTGTACCATATTTTAATTTGTGATATTTAGCTCTATAAAGGAAAGAGGAATTAATTAGGGTAGAAAAGTGCCACTGTCCCCTTTCTCTTTCATAACTACATATTCCCACAAGCATAGTTGTATTCAAAATGTTCTCTATTTTTTTTTAAAAAAAATGCTTTACACATACTGAAAGTATATAAATTACAAATGTAGGTAAATTAATTTCATGCAGTTTTTATTAAAAATGTTTATTGACAAGTTACAATCACAAATCCAATTCAGCTATGCTAACAAGTCTGCAAATACTCTTATGTACAGAAAAACTAAGAATTTCTGCTAAACTGAGAGACATAAAGTTGCTAAGAAAAATATCATGACACAATCTACAAGAAAACTATAGTCTTAAAATAACCACATTAGAATCTCTTTAGTTTTTGAGTTTAACTCAAAATGTTATGGTTAGTAAAACAGATTATAACTCAAAAGAATTTCATATAAATAAAAACAATGGAGTCTTGAGGTATTTTAAACATTACAAATTCATTATCATGTACTTTTTGTGGAGATCAAGTGTTTAATAAAAATAATGCTTAGGTAAATCAGACTGCTGAGAATCATGTTTAAAAGATAGAAGAATGTCAATTACGTTTATTAGGATACTTTATTTCTTAGAAAAAACTGTTTAATATTAGCATGCAAACAAAACAGACGCAGTCTGATGAATTTTAAAATTAATTTAGAACCAACTATTTTAAGTCCTCGGCTTTTTTCTATATGTGATTAGATTAATTTATAACACTAAATTGGAATTAACAAAATATTTTAAAAAATATTTTTGTTTTTTATTTAGAATTATTAACATATACAATTAACAAACCAATCTTTAAACAATGGCAAAAAACAAAAAATACTATTAAGAAGGAAAAGAAAAAGAAAAAAAATCTATTGTATATTTTATACTTATCAATGGTCACTGGTTTACTAATAAATATATGCCTATAATATAATCAGTACAAAATATTATTGTAAAGATCTCTGCCATAGTAACAGATATTGCTGCATCCCTTGATTGGTAGAAAATATTGCCTTTTCCAAAACAGATAGATCAAACAAATCCAACAACCTTTCTTTAATATCTGGAATAATATCACCTTTCCAATTTCTCAGTAATGTCAATTCTACGAATGGTATTTGGGATAAAAAAATGAGATCTTTGCAAGGTTCCTACTTATGTGATTTCTACTTTAAGATATTTAGCAAAAGCTTTACATGAATTGATATGAATGGAAAAATAAACATAACCATTATAAATATTGATTTACATATACATATAAAACCAAAATTACACTAAGTAATCTTAAGCATTTAAAATAGGTTTAGGCAATATGTCTTTAAGATATTTTGGAGTCACATGGGCATGCTGATTTTGATTGCTCGGAATCTAAAAATTTGGAGAGTATATAATATAGAGCTTAAGAAAACACATTCAGTCTAACTGATGTGTCAAAAATTAAAATTAGAAATTAAAATTAGAAACTAAAATTAGAGTTTTCAGAATGCAATAAATTACCACAAAGCTCATTTCAAATTAAGAAAAGTAGTAAAAGAAACTTCAGCGATAGAAAATATTACAAGCTGCTTATCTTTCTGATCATATGTATCAAGGTCCTGTCTAGAATGAAGTTTTTGTTTCAGACAATACCTGTTTTGTCTGAAATAATTCTGTTTTGACCCAAAGATCAGTGGTGGGATTCAAATATGTGAACAACCGGTTCTCTGTGTGGATGCCACTTTCGGAAGTCTATTCTGGGCCTGGGCAACAAAAAATTAGCTACCGGTTCTGCCAAACTGGTGCGAATTGGTTGAATCCCACCACTACCAAATATGCTTTTTCACGAGGCAATGGACTTTCTTGTTTTTCTTTGAAGATGTTTTGCTTCTCATCCAAGAAGCTTCTTCACCTCTGACTGGATGGCTGAAGAAGCTTCTTGGATGAGAAGCAAAACGTCTTCAAAGAAAAACAAGAAAGTCCAGTTGCCTCGTGAAAAAGCATCTTTGGGATAACTATGACCTGGATGACTGAGAATCTCCACAGACAATTCTGTTTTGACAACTGATGCACCATTTAAACAGTGGCAAAAGGATGTATCGTTTGTGTGGCAAGTTAAATATAAGGTGTTACAGGATGCAAAGGAAAGAGGAGGATTGAATTTACTTGATTTGAAATTGCACAATGCTGCTTACTGTTTGGTTTGAATGAAAGAATGAGTATTGCTAAGTGAAGGCTTTTATGACATGGCTTGATATTTGGATGGCATGAATATCCGTGGCAGAATTTAAAAAATCATTATGTTAGAAATGCAATACTGAGAGTATGCAAGATACAAATTCAGGTTGTGCCAAAAAATACTTTTGTGGCTCTCAACAAAAGTGGCATTTTATAGACAATAAATACAGTAATAGGCAAACACAAATGGCTAACTTACTATATTAGAATTATGTCAAGGGAAATACAAAATAAAATCAAGAGAAAAACTGTTCGTATAGTTGACAAAGTTTTCTTATTTACAATTATTAGAAAAATTTTAAATACACAAAAGAGTTTGTTTTGAACACTCAAACAGTTAGTTTGTACATCATTATGTACAAATGATGAACATGTAATTGCTAAAATATATAAATTAGTTGAAATTTGAAACAGAAGAAAAAAAAAAGAATGTATAATACAGTGGGCTAAAAGTTTGATTATAATATATAGAAGGAACAGTGGGAAAATACAAGCCTGAAAGGATTGAAATTTACACATGTTACAATCTTAAAGAGAATTTTATAAAATGATCTGGCATTGTTATATGATATCAGAGAAATTGTCTAGAATATATAAAGGCACTTTAAATTCATATTGCAAATGTGAACATCAAGAAGGAACATTTTATCATGCTTGGTGGACATGTAAGAAAGCTAAAAAAATTCTGGATTCAAATACATACACTGATTTAGAGGATTTTAAAGAATAATATATAATTGAAAGCAGAGCTTTTTCTTTTGGGATTAATGTACAAAAGTTGGAAAAAAGTTTGCTTCTGTACATGACAACTGCAGCAAGTTTATTGAATACACAAGGATGGAAAAAAATTAGTACTATCCACAATGGAGGAATGGTTGTTGAAGGTGATGGAACTTGCTATAAAGATCAGGAGCCACTTCTTTGTATTTTTCTATTTTTCTTTTATTTTTTCTTTTGTTCCATTTTTAGCTCTCTCTTTTCCTTTTTCTTTACACTAGTTTTACACTTTACTTTTTAAACTTTTTAATAAAATTATAAAAAATATGAATTAAAGGTGGCTGGGTTTGTTTTTTTTACAAACATTTCCTATTATACTTAAATGACTTGCACTTAGTTATAGATTATTTCATAACATTTTATTTTGTACTGGAGAGAAGAATAGGGAAAAGACACTCAATACTGACTTTGATATAAGATAGTAAATAGTTCTTGCATTTAACATTTAACAGCTCATAAGGTATCTACAACTTAAGCACCATACCGTTCTTGTTTAAGAGCATACTCTAACATTTTTATTCTTCGCACTAAATCCTTCTTCAAATTCTCTTGACCTTTTCTTTCTCCTTGAAGGAAGGCAATCTGAGCCTAAAATAAATAATTTCAAATAGAAAGATTAACAAGTTGTTTTCTTACATCAGTTCCATGACAAAGTATTGAAAAGTATTGTTCTTAATAAAGAACTAAATCTCTCAGCAAAAATCTTTGAGGCAAAGTATTGCTGAAATATACAATATATGATTATTCAACATCCTGGTTCATTCATTTGTAACTCATCAAGTAACAGTACTCTGACAAAAATAACAATAATTCATTTGTCCATCTGACTGTAGTATACATCTACTCATGCTAACTTGACATTCTCTAAACACATCATTATATCATGGTATATTAGGGACTTATCATCACATCAAGGTGTATTAGAGAAAGGATATGTCTGGTCCACCAGAAGTTGTTATCTTGCAATTTCAAACATCTTATGGCATGTCAGCTTGAGCAGCTTGATGTTGCATATCAGCAACAAATGTGAAAGGAGCAGTAGGGCAGGCACATATTATCCACAAGTGGGTACAGGAAAAAATTGTAAAGAGAAGATTAATACCTTTGGCATAGTTGGATGTATTATGTTAATAAAGAAGAAATTAACTGCTACTCAATGAGAATAATAATAATAATAATTAATATTAATATACATACATGAATGCATCATTCTCTGTATTTTCTAAACTATTCAATACATTAATGAAGAGCAACAAATCTAAACATATACTGTAGATTTTATTTATCACAAAGACAAGAGTATAATAATCAGCAATAGAACAAAAGTTATCTAATAAAAAGGTATAGTTTAGCTAAAAAACAAGGAATACAACTGTGATAATTTTAATGCTTCAAAGAATTTCAAAAACAAAAAAGATTACAGCGAGAGGAACTGTACAGAATAATGCTTGTGTGCTTGATAAAAGCACATTCTTTACAGTTCCTCTAGCCCAACTGAATTCAACAGTCCCCCAAAATGAATTCCACCTCACATACTGTTCTTGAACATCTAGTGTGCTGTCCAAGCGAAACCATAATCACCTCTTGAAATGAGGGGGCAACTGACGCTCAGGATTGGCTCATACCTACGCAGCCTCTTTTCTCACATGGATCCCAGTGCTTTCTTTGATTTACAGAGCGAGAGGAGGCATGAAAAGAAATATTCTCCAACTACACCACTGAAGGTGGCCCCTGGGTTTGTTGAGTTTCATTTTTAGTTCTACCTGCCAGTGCACAATTTGGTGGTCCTCATGGACTTGCAGCTCCTATCCAACAAACAGGTAGTAGCCATTGATTTTTTGTGCTGCAGGAAATTTCTCCTTAGTTCCAGATAGGATCTCTCTTTAACAAACTTCCATTCATTGCTTCTTGTCTTTAACTGTAGACTGCTATCATGTCTTCCTTAATCTTTCTCTGCACTAGGCTAGACATGCCGAGTTCCCTTAACCTCATATAGGTTAGTCTCTAGATCCCTTATCATATTTTTGTTGTTTTCTGTACTCATCTAGGGTTTCAGCATCTTTTGTAGCTCCTTTGACTGAATCCCTCAAAAGACTGAGAGGACTCTCTGGGATATTAAGTGCGGTATAACTGGAAGTAATTGCTGACTTAGGAATCTTTGCTGAACCTCTCTTTGTTCCATGTGCAAAAAAAAGTCTGACATCTGTAGAACAGCAAGCCAGTACCTGCCTTTAATGCAAAGTTTATTTATATCATGCCATAATAAACAGACTCTCAGGATCTTGCAGTAAACACAACAAAATGATGATTTAAAAAAATCTATGTTGAATGCCAACATAAATGACAATAAATTAAACAGAGTGAAATAAAAAAATAGGGCAATAAATTAAGAAAATTGCAACAATGCTCTACAGAATAATAGCTTCTGATAGCTTCTTAAAGGCTGGTGGGGCAGGAGACTGATCTCCAATAGAAACATGGATCCCCTCACATTCTGAAAATGTGGAATCACTAGCAATTGTTCCTTACAAATTCTATTAGGTTGAGCTAATGTAATTGGGAGAAAGTGATCCTGTAACCTTCCAAATGATTGTGAGAATGGAGCCTGCTTTTGTGGTGTTCAGAAACTCATTCTCCAAATCGTGCAATTGTGAGAAGAGTACCGCTTGGAGAATGGTGACAGGCAGACTTAGTAGGCTGAGTATGCCTGTCAGCAATTGCAGAAAACCCCTAAAGATAAGTATTATGCATATGCTGGTGGGCTCTGTAATCAGATGAGGCTTCCTGGGCCTTATGGGATGGGTGGTAAGCTGATGCCTCCCAAGCCTAGTTGGGCAGAGGTGTCCTGGACCACAGCAGCTTTGAACATGTTGGTGGGCCAGATGAGCAGCTGAGGTGGGAGGAAAGATAGGCAGGTGGGGACAGTTGCAATGCCCCTGCAGTCATAAGTGTGAGCAAACTGCCAAGCACCTGAATTTTTATTATGAGATCACAGGGGTGCTGGAGCAACCATAACTTCAGGCACAGAGTGTAAGTGCCTTTGCTCACCACTGTCATAATTTCAATTGCCACTGAAAACCTGGTTAGTGAGGACTCCCTGTACCCACTTTGTAGATTTCATACCCTACGTTACTAGGCTTTCAAGCCAGATTGTAAAGCTATGTTTTCAGGACCTTCCAGAAGGCCACCAAGGTCAGGGCCAATCTGACTTGTGAGTGATGTTCTAAAATGCAGGTGCCACTAAAGAAAAAGATCTCCTCCTAAGTCCCATCAGATGCAACATGCCCTTACTGCTCCACCTAACTGTACATAGATGCAATTAGGAAGAGGTGCTCCCTCAGATAACCACCCACAAACATGTGAAGCTTTACAGGTCATTACCAGCACTTCGAATTTAACCTTGAAGAAAACTTGAACCTGGTAGTGTGGAGCAGAGATCTAGGTGCACAGATATTTATAGCTATTATTCCAACATCTTTTTTCACAAGTACTGTTACCATGGAAGTTAATCTCCAATTTTGTACATGCATTTTTTTTATTTTTGTTTCCAAAGGACAATTTTGCACTTGTCTCTTTAAAATTTCATTCTATTATTTTTAGCCCATTTTTCCAAAACAGAAGGCAGCAAAATAATATGAAACTAAGACATTAGCTATCCCACCCAAATGGGCATCTGGAAATCTGATAAACATTTGCAGTGCTACATCCAATTAATTCATTCATGAAAATAATGAAAAACTGGTAATATTTAATTTGTGGCATCTCACCTGAAACCTGAAACTTATGAAGAATATTTCCAATAACACTTTTGAGTATAGTGTGGACCAACTATGCATCTATTGTCATGCCATTCAGCCCATACAGAGTGCTTGCTAATCTGTATATTATAAAGGTAAGGCATGTTACCAAATGCTTTGTTGAAGCCTTATATCGATTAAATAAGTTGCCTAATCAAAAAGTGAGATAAGAGGGAGGATCTGTTCTTGATAAATGCACACCTGATAAATTATACTAATACTTACCACATTGTTTTCAAAATGCTTACAAATCAATTATTATATGCTCTAGAATCTTTTCAGGTATTAATATCAGAATGATTGGTTTGTAGTCATAAAAACTTCATTCTTTCCCTTTTTAAAGATACAGACATTTGCTCCTCTAATCATCTGAAGTTCGCTAACTCTTACATGCCCGAAATACAATGCATAAAGATATGGCAAGACTCTTATGTCTTTTACTATCCATAGATATAATTCATCACCTCCTAGAGCCGTGGTGCGAACCTATGGCACGTGTGCCACAGGTGGCACGCAGAGCCCTCTCTGTGGGCACGCGTACCATCGCCCCAGTCCTAGGCCTTCAGCTGGGTTTTATAAAACCTTTTTGCTTTAGACCTCCACTGCTGTGTGCAAAAAAAAAAAAAAGGTTCAATCACTCAATCAATTTCAACTTCTTGCAAGAAAAAAAAAGATCTCGCAAAGTTGGAATTGATTGATTGAACTTTTTAGTCCCACCCAGTCTGCTGTTACCACCGCAGCCATGCCCACCTTATGGGCCACACTCACCCAATTGGCCACACCCACGCAATGGGCCACATCCATCCAATGGACCAGGCCCACCCAGCACCCAACAATACATAAGTGGGTTTTGGGTTGCAATTTGGGCACTTGGTCTCTAAAAGGTTCGCCATCACTGTCCTAGAGATATAGAATTCAAAGTAATGAAGCACTTACTGACTATATTTTTTATCAAACTCAAGCTTCAATCCTGCCTCTTCATATAGCTTATTAGGAAATTGTACAACAAATTGTTGTACAATTTCCTAGTACAACACACAAAGGTTGCTTTTTAAGACTGCCTAAAGCTATTAGTTACTTTTATCTGTTACTAGTTTTGCCTTCTTCTTTGAGCAGCTGTATGCTGCTGCTATTTTCTTTGTACTGTGAGCCCAATTAGAAACCATTTTTGTTTTCAGTCTAATGCTCTGTGCTTTTACTTTCCTGACACCAGCTCTACACTTCAAAGTTACAGGTAGTCGAGTTACGAATGTAATGGAGCCTGCCCATTCCATTTGTAACTTAAAAATTCGTGGCAGTGAATCTCATACCTTGAACGAGATCACTCCCTGCTTTCGCCCACACATTTGCTAATTTAATACATGGGTGAATGCGTGGTTCGTTAAGTGCACATGAGGTATCTCAGGGTAGGGAAGGCCATGGGGGGGCCTAGTGATGGAACAGCCCCAAGTTCTCCTCGACCCACTAAGATACCTCATGCTTCCCCCTCCTTCCTCCCGCACCAGACTCACATACTTTGAAAAGATCCGTCTCCTCTCTGCCACGATTCCTGCTTTTGAGGCAGAGGAGAGTCAATGGAAGCTCCTGCGTGCCATAATATTGCGTGAATTCAGATACCCATCCTCTTTTGCAGACCTCCAGAGGCACGTGGAAGCCTCCCCCGGCCTCGGCAGTAAAGTCTTTTTGCAAAGATTGCAAAAGGCTTTGCAAACGGATGGAAGGCTTCGAAGTTTCAACCCTTACCTGTATTTGCAAAGCCTTTTGCTGCATATCTCCACCAGGCCT